GTGTGGTCAGTCTTCTTCCAGTTCTCCATAGAGTATTCCCTGTGTCCTTCTTATGACAAGTACCACTTTCTCCCATTTAGCCTAGCTTTTTAATTCACCTATTTCATCTTATCCATAAGAATGAAATGTGGAGGGGGAGATCATTGCCTGATTCACATGCCAATCTTCCATAAATCTTAGCACCAAACCTTTTTTGATAGGGGTACCCCCATCTCTATGACCACGCAACTCTGATGTTCACAGAATATTTCAAGGGAGGCAGACTTTCTAAAGATTTAAGTTAGAGCCTGCTTTTCCTGGGAAAGCCCAAATGTGCTCTCATGGGCTTCTAACCTTAGTTTGAAAAGAGGGTAACTCATCGCCTCTGCACTCAGAGAAGGAATCCGTGTTCAACTTCACCCTGCCTCCACTGTCCCCCAGTGCTTAGCATCAGCTGTGTCAATGTTAGCCTTACCTGAAATCATCCTTCCCCAGGTCCCAAGCTGTAGGGTGACAGACAACTCTCCGGCCATCTTCTGGCTCAACTAGCATGGAGTTTTGCCAGAATCCTTGAGTCATTTCAGGAAGGCTGACCGTCACAAAGAAATCCTCAGCCTCCTTGAATATTCTCTGTGCATCCCAGCCCTGGGGAAAAATAGTATTTAATTCCAGCACTAAAAAAACAGCATTCTTCAGTGAAATAAGCCAGACACAGAAAGACAAATACCACATGTTTTTATGTAAAGTGTGGAATATAAAACAATCAAACTCATATAAGCAGACAGTAGAATGGCGGATACAGAGTCTGGGGGTTGGGGACAAGGGCAGACGATGACCACAGGGCACAAAGTCTCAGATCAGATGAAGAAGTTTTTCGTCTTGTGATATATTACACAGTGTGGTGACTATACAGAGGGTGCCCAAAAATGTACACACATTTTAAGGAAGGAAAAAACTATATTAAAATTGCAATACTCGATACATACCGGTAACAAAAGATGAATACAAGTCATGTTTGAGCACCTCTTGTAATTGCAGAAGTCAAATATCACCTGAGCATTACAATTTTAATATGGCTTTTTCTTTTTGTAAAATGTGCATATATTACTTAGCACCCTCTATGGTTAATCATAGTATACGGTACATTTCAAATTGCCAGGAAAGTAAATTTCAAATGTTCTCACTGCAAAAAATAAGTATGTGAGCTGATGGATATGTTAATTGGCTGGATTTAATCATTCTGTGTTGTATTCATAAATCATAACATCAGTCTGTGCCCCATACATACATATAATACAATTATAAATAGTCAATTTACAAGAAAATTTTTAAATGGGAAAAAGGGCTAATGTTATTAAAAAACAGCTCCGCATTCTTTCTGTTGGATAAATACATTGGCATAGCCTTTCTGAAAGGCAATTTTGTAACGTGTGTGGGCAGGTTTTGAAAACTCTCTTTGTCTCAGTAATACTGTCCTTAAGGAGCTAACCTAAAAATGTACAAGAAATCCAGTGCAAGAATTACATTGAGAATGATTTTTAATAGGGAACAAAAGTAGAAACAGCCATTAGAAAGGTTAAATAAATGATACCTTTGTGAAATGGAAAACTGTGCGTCTACCCAAATCATATTTCTGAAGAATTTGTATTGATATCACAAAATATAATTGAATAATAAACAGAAAAAGTAGTACAGGCCACTTACATGGTATATGATCTTTTTTTTTTTAACATGGTATGATTTTAATGAGGAAATATATGAAAATGTTAACAGTAGCCTGGGTGACATAGCGTGTCATTTTTTTTTTTTGGTCTTTATTTTTTATATTCTAAAGAAGTCATTACTTTCTATTTGCTAAAGACTATTCAACTAAAGCCAGCAATTATTGATTGAGCTCCTTCAAGGGGCAGGGCCCTGGATTAGGCTCAATGAAAGACACAAACAATGAAGGACACTATGAAGGCTTGAATGACCTGACGGCCAGTGGGTAGTTGGACTTTGGCTTCATGATCTGTATCGAGTCTAAACTTTCAGAATCCTTGGGAACTGGAAAAAGACATCAGTCAGCATCTGCCACCCAGAAAACTCTTCTGGGAACTAGTGTCTAAGAACTAACCACGCCTGTTAGGAGATCAGGCCTACATCAGGCAAGCTAAGTTTGTGTAATCGACAAATAGTTCATGAATTGCTTTTAGTAACAGAAAACTTCCTCTGATCTCAAAGACCTGTCAAGTCTGGTTTTTCTCCGATGTCAGGCAACTGGTCTTGATGAGAATGACATTCTTAAGCAGAATGAACATATATCAAAACACTGCAGGCTAGTAACACAGTTAACATCTGTTGAATGAAGAATGGATAAATTAATATAAAGCCAGACTGGAAATATCAGAAGTTCTGAGTTTAATTCTTAGTCATCAAAGATAGTCTTTGTGACTTAAGAGTCTGAGTTTTCTTACCTATAGCATGGAACTATCTTAATACCTGTCTTCACAGTCTCATAGAAGAAAATTGGAAAGATGGATGTGAAAATACTTTAGAAAGGCTAGGACCTACGTAAAGGCAGACCTTTACTGCTTGTCATCTGCAAAATGGGGCTAAAATTGCTGCAAGAGTTTGGAGGCCCTTGCGGCTTCATGTTTTTACTCTGCGATGGGCTTTTCCTAGGAGTATTTTATGCATGTGAAGATCCTGATTTGCATTGCTACTTATAGGCTTAAAACCATTAACCAGCAAAGGCTCAGATATTCATACATAGTAGAGTAAATTATGATGGAATAATCTAAAGAAATTTTATAAGGCAAATAGAAGTATGATTAGGCATTCTACTAAAATGTAGAGTTTTAGTTGAATAAAGAAAAATAACATAATTTTAATTATAATGTCATCAATAGAAGGGAACACAGAGAATTTAAACAATTATACCAAGATGATAAGAAAAAGGCGATTTGAAAATTATTTTAGGTGGTGCCTGTGGCTCAAAAGGATAGGGCACTGGCCCCATATGCTGGAGGTGGCAGATTCAAACCCAGCCCTGGGCCCCCCCCAAAAAAATTATTTTAAAGATTTTTGTAGGCCAGGTGTGGTGGCCCATGCTTGTAATCCTCCCATTCTGGAAGGCCAGGGTAAGAGGATTGCTTGAGCTCAGAAGTTCGAGACCAGACTGAGCAAGAGCAAGACTCTATCTCTACAAAAAAAAAAAAAAAAAAAGGAAAAATTAGCTGTGAAATTTACTTAGAGTATAAATGTCTTAACACAACAACTAAGAAAATGCCATGGAGGCTATGTTAACCAGTTTGGTAAAAATATTTCAAATTGTATATAAAACCAGCACACTGTACTCCATGACTGCATTAGTGTACACAGCTATGATTAAATTAAAAAAAATATATAGCTATACAAGAAATAAACTTAAATTAGTTTTTTTTAATTTACATGGTTTCACATACAAAAAAATATAAGAACAGAAGGATAACAGAAAGAAATTAAGTTGAGAATTTAAGTTTAGTTTTTAAGGCTTTTTTTTCCTACCTGGTTCACCATGGCATCAGTAACATCTATGTTTGGTTTCTGTTCAAAGGGGACTGCCAATGAGTACAAATTTGTCCAAAATCTACCCCACATATCGCCTATTTTAAAAAAGAATCTGTTAATACATGACAAAGAAAGCAGAAATATAGACATAATTGATCAAACATAAGTAACATCATAGCTCCCATGTATTACAAAGAGATTTATATAATCCACCATCCATGGGGCAAAATATGACAAATTAAATCTAGTATGGGACTCAAACGAGATTATATAAGATCGTCATTCAGGAACTTCTACTAACTAGTTAACTGAGTTCCCCTTTTATTACTATAGTAGCACCCTTAACCTGGTGGTTGTTTAAATATCTCAAACAAATGTAAAGTTAGTTTCCAAGACCAGAGATACTAAAAAGGAAGATGGATCCTAGCAAAAGTCAATCTAATAGCAGTAACAGAATCCTGGGCAACACAACTGCATGAAAAGGACTCCAGTGAACCCATTTTTAAAGGATAAAATGTAGTAGAGCTACAAGTCAAGTCTTACACTTAAAGTTTAAAGAAAAATGTGTCCACCATAAAAATATATGTGCTATCAGGCCAATGCACAGTCGGTATGTACAAGACCAAAAGTAACTCAACAAACAGTATACATGGCATGGCTTCTACACAAATGCAACCTTACACTGAATCTTTAGAATGACAGTTTCTAGAACAAAGGCTGGCGTGGTACCACAGTTCACTCTATGTCAGTCAGACCTCATCTGGAGTTCACTATTCAGTTGTGAGCATGACAACCGAAGAGGGGAATCGACAAAATAGAGCTCATCCAAAGAACAACCAGAAAAATGGCATTTAGCGGGCTGACTGGAAGTCTGCGTAACATATTTAAATTGAAAGAAGAAAGCAGTATATACATGATGAAAACAATAACAGTCACCATAAGTTACTGGGCCAAGTACTATATTGGATCTTGTATGATGGCTATTTACACGTATCTGGAAGGTCATCTTGTAGAATAAGAATCGACATAGTCTGGGTAACCTCATAGCATGGACATCAGAGTAATGAGCGGAAAGCATTAGAGCAGCGCTGCCTGAGTTCTACATAAGGTAGAACCTTCTTATAAG